GAGATTGCTGACTGCTGAGGAGACGGACGAGGTGAGCTTGAGGAACCCAGCCAGCACGACAAAGCTCTATACATGTTTGACTGCCCTGATGATGCTGTATTGCGGATTGGAACTAGGGGAGTTGGCCATTCAGGGAATACAAAGGCATTCTGAAGTTGGGAGACTAACATACTAGGTACCTGGTAAGGATGTGACACTGCTGGGGGCGGAGGTACGATTGTCGCATATGTCACGTCCGCGGGAAACCGGCCACATCCCGTGTAGGTAGTCTGCTGTCACATACTTCCGGACAACGGGCCGCCTGCTCCAGAGTCCAGGCAGACAAGCGGCCGGTTGAATACCCTCCAACGGGAGTCTAAAGGAGGTGGCGTTGAATGTTGGGGCTCAACACTGAATGCCCCAACAGTATTGCTCCCAAGCCCATTGAAAGGTGGAGGCCGGTCCCCCACGTGTGACCCTTTCTTGACTTGAGAACCTAGTCTACGACTTTGTCGTCTCGCATTCTGCCCAAGCTCGGTCAGTCCCTTCTCCGTCATAGAATACTGGCATCAGCACTTTGGCAACCAAAGCATACTTCCTCGAGGCCTACACTTCCCTGGAGTAGTAAACAGGCACGCGCAGACAACAGCCTCTTGTATCAGCTCGACACACGGCACCCGGCAGTAGGCACTGCCTGTCCCCAAAGAAAGGAAGCACCCCTACAAAACAAGCCGCCATGGACCTTAGCACCAACACCAACCCGCAACTTGAAGGCACCGGCACAGACGACGACCCTCTCTCCGCCGCCGCCGCCGCCGCCACCACCACCCAACTCCCCGACAGCGCCGGGGATGGGGATGGAAACGATGGAAGCCCGAACCGCCGGCGGATCAAGCAGCTCTGGACCGCCGACGGCTACCCGATAGTCGACGGCAAGTACCTCGACCTGTCGACGGGCGAGGTCAAACCACACACGGGCCCGTTCCGGGGGGGACCGCCGTCGGTATCGGTCTACTGGCAGAACCAGCTGTGCACGGGCCGGCGCGACCAGTTCCTCGTGCTCGCCAAGGCGGGCGCGGGCGGCGCGAGCTGCGACCTCACCGAGTACCTGGCGCGTGCGGGGGGGTTTTTTGCCAAGGGCCTGTGCAAGGTCCACTCGCTCAACGCGACGCGCTACGATGTGTACGTGGTTGTGTCGTCCGAGTTGTCGGCCGAAAAGTTTCGTGAGGCTTTGGGGGTGCATGGGCTTTTGTAGATTAGCAAGGGCGGCAGTATTGAATGGAATCCAATCCCGCCAATCTCATCAATTCGAGGTTGCGCAGAGGACTGAAAAATCTAGGAAGCGGAAAAGTTACAAAATTCCCGCTCCTTTCATTTTAGCGGGTCCCCGTCCTGTTCCGGGTTGCGTCACCGCCTCGGGCGGTCCCGTCGCTCCTTTCGACAGGGCTGGCACCTTACAGGTTACGTTTCAGCTCCCAGCTTCTGATTCCACACTAAAGTATCCGTAACTCCCTCAAGCTGTTTTTCACCGCTTCAATCCAGCCAAGGGAAAAGCGGGAGGCCGCCGTCATCAGCTGCTGTAACTAACGTTAGTTGCAGTTTTGACTCCGGTATCCGATCGGGACCAATCCGAATCCGAGATCCACCGAAGCAGCCGGCTGTGGCAAAACTCTCACTCCATCCACCACCGCCGTTCGGCCCAAAAATCCCCGCCGACGTTAGGGCTGTTGCCGGTTGCATTAGTGTGAGGTACATACGTACCCACTCAGTTCCACCCAACGCCTTTCTCTGGCAACCCTCAACGACTCGAACCCTGACCGTACGAAGTATCACCACCGACCGTATTGTGCACACTCTACATGCCAGTAGTAGTGCCTTCAATTTGGAACTTGGAACTTGGAACTCCCGTCTGAATTAAGTTCCGCCCACTAACCAAACAAGGCCATAACCAACCTCCGGTACCTAGCACCATGATGGATTTGGAACCGGACCGCCCACCGCACCCCCCAGCAATAAATTACATCCTCTCCTTCATCCTGGTCGGCCTCGCCTGGGGTTTAACAACACCCTTCATCCGGCATGCGGCACGTGACCATCCCGGGCCGTCCCCGGCGCACGCAGCGCTGCTTGAGTCGGAGTCCGTGCAACAGAGTTGGTGGAAACGGCGCGTCTATGGCGCCGTGATCGCCGTTGTCGCGCTGCTCCGCAACCCGCGCTATGCCGTGCCGCTTGTGCTCAACCTCACGGGGAGTGTGTGGTTCTTTTTGCTTGTTGGGAAGGCTGGTACGTTCTTTTTTTTTTTTTGTTTTGTTTCTTGCTACCTTACCTTGCGATCTGGAGTCACGGTTGCTGTACTCTTTTTTGCTTGGGACTTGGGTATTGTCGTGGTTTGCTCTCCCTGCCGTCCTGCCCTGCCTGTACTTGTACCAAACCACGCGCGTGGTGCGAATGGTGTTGGTTGGTTGGTGGGGATTTCATGGTTAACCCCCTCTGCCCACCTTCCACCCAGTTGAATCGTCCTGGGAGTGTGGTTGTTCTGCCGCCTCTTGGTCTGCCGTACTCCTACTACTCCCACTACTAGTAGTAACGGCCGCGGTGATGCCTAGGGGAGGGCTGTTGTTGACAATCCGTTCGCGTGTAGAGCTGAGTCTTACGGTGCCCATTGTGAATACATTGGCGTTCTTGTTTACCGTGATTGGCGAGTGGTGGGTCGAGGGCAAGGTCATCAGTCGAGGTATGCCCTCATTTCCATGCTTCGCGTCGTGCTCGAGGTGTGGTGCTGATGTGGATGGATTCAAGACACAATGATCGGGATGCTACTGTCAGTTGGAGGCATTGCGCTGTGTGTGCATAGCAAAAACACATAGCAGGCGGGGTGATTCATTCTAGACTTCATGTTGGACTGGAGTAATGGCTTGATGCATTGTATGGTTGGGCTGAGATGTGGAAAAAAAGTTCTATTGATGAGGATTTCTCAGGCCAACGACGAGGCAAAAGAAAATGGGATAAAGCTCAGGCGAGAAGGCCACCGCTCTTTGCGGACAGTCAAAGACTGGACTCGAACTGGTGACCTTCCCGCCCTACGAAACCGTGCAGAACAATTTCATAGTTAGCTGGATATTCCACTCGGCCACAGGACCGAGATCCTGTGGTGAGGCTAACTTGCCATATCTCGGACGAAACGATGGCTATATACCCTCCCTCTTTCCCTCCCGCCCTCGTTTCCCCACAGGCCCACGGGTGTCAACCTCCCCTGCCATCCACCAAACCCAAGCCCAACTCTGCCGAGTGTGCTTTTCCAACTCAAGTCTGGATACCATAATAACCAGGCTGGAAGTCACGGTGACCGCCTCGATACAAAACCCTGAGTTGATATGTCCTCCAAGGAGACTACCATGTCCGAATCACCAATCTATAATGGAACTCTGAATTCATGCAATGGCCATTGATGTCTGCTGCGCTAGGCAGTCTCTATTTAGCGTAACTGTATCGTACTCTGTCCTGTCGTTCCTCGTATCGTCCATGATAACCCCTGAAAATGTTTACTCGAAGCGTGCCCGCCGCGCCGTCCCCTGGATATGTACAACCGAACACAAAAGAAACCCAAAGCTTCCGTTCCCCCATGCGTGTGTTCCCAATGGTATCTCGACCGCGCCAATACACATAGTTCCATGTCTAGGTAGCCAATGATGATCCCGTACTTTTAACCATGCCGCGTCCGTGTATGTGATGATGTCCCTAGACCAAAACAAGGAGAAAAGAAAGAGCGAAAGAAGGTAAGTGTAAACGATTACAGTTGAAGGCTCGATGAACTCGATAATGGTCGAATGGAAATGTATCCGAGGAGCGTAACTCCGTCGCCGGCGGCCCGTCTAACGTCTGCGGGACCGCACCCAGCGCTGTACCGCGCGCAGGCTGGGGTCTTCGTCCGTCCAGCGGCCCAGGGCAAAGTCGGATGCTTGCAGCTCCGAGTAGATGGCTTCGTCAGTGATGCTGGCCAGTTCCTGTTGGAGGAGGTTTGTTAGAAGAACAGTACTTTCTTCCTCAGATGGTTCTACCACTGGACAAGGTGAAGAGATGAAGACTTACAGCGCGCAACTGCTGGTCGCAACTCCTGAGCTGTGCCTCATTATCCGAGTTGGGCCTGCCGCCCATGAGGATCTGCTCCCGCCATTCGATCCAGCGCTGCGCGGCAGCCTGGCGGAGATAGATCTTTTGGCCCTCGTGCCTGCGCGCGTACGCATCAAGATGGACTCTGGAGACATTTTGCACCCGCATGGTTAGTTGATGCACCGTAGGGGATGGATGGATGGAAAGCAGGGTCGTGAGAGGGACGCACTGCTTCAGCTCGGCTTTTGCCTGCTCCTCCGGCCCGCCGGTGGTGCGAGGGACTGTGACGTCGGCGCCGCAGTTTAGAATGTGCTGCCCATCGATGGCGCACTGTCGAAGAGCCGCCCAGCCCTCGGTATAGTAGTCGTCCATGTCCGGGGGGTTGCATGGCGCCGCGGCGATGTAGTACTGAAGCGTTCGGAACTCGGAGAGCAGCTCGGCCACTCGCGCCGTGCGGTATTCGTTGACTGTCCAAGCTTTTGGGTTAGTCCGAGCCGGCATTGGAAACGGTGTTGTGTGGCGTCTTTAGCTAACGCCAGTTTTGCCAGCCTGTGTCGGTGTTGGGCTCGCTCAGGGGGGAAGGGAAGGGGGCGTGGGAAGGCGCCTAAGGGGGGTAGGTGTCTAGCACTCACGTCCGTCGGCCATTTCGGCTGTTCGACTTCAATTTCACGGATCGAGAAACTAGAGAATGGTATAGAGGGATGGTCAAGATCGCGATGACCGCGGTATGCCAGGGAAAGACGGAGAATACAAGGCGGGCCAGTGCCGCAGGAAAGAGAGCAGCGAGGCTAGAGAGTTGCAGTCTATGCAAGTATAAAGCAGCGGCAGGGCTGAACCAAGAAGAGAGTGGCAGTCTCCGTAGAGGAGTGGTGAGGGCTCAAGGTCGTCATGGTGAATGCTCCAAGGGTGAAGCACAACTCCTTTTGTAGAGCTTCCCGTAGCTACCCTAAAGCCGTTGGGAAAAAGGAAGACGAGTAATTGAGAGGACTCCGGAGCAGAGTTCTCCTGACAGATACGTATCCGTGGGCTCCGGGTGGTGGAGGAGAGGCGTGATGGACTCGGGAGAGCCCACACGACAACCAGGTCCGTGTCTCCTACTCGACGCAGCACCTACACTTACCCACGTAGACAAATCTGCTGCATCTCAACCGGATGACATATCATCTGCGGGTATCAGCCGTCCCCGCAACGTGTGGGCTGGTGCCATGCCATATCAGGAGGGAGAAAACACGTTCCTGCGTCAGTCTCGAGTAGCCGAACGCCACCGATGCGAGAACAGCCTGGCAAGGCCTTTAACCCAACGGTACCACCGGCACCACAAATCCACCGACGCACCCGGGAAACTAGAAAGTGCCTGCACCCAAGACGCAAGAGAGGACAGACATCGGGATCCACGTCCACGGCTGCTACCGTGTGCTTCAAGAAGGGACCCTGGTCAGGCTGGAGGGCATGCAGTAGTCTTGCATATCGACTGCAGCGCTGCAACGACAAAGTCTTCCAAGGCCGTGGGTATCGGATGGACTTTTACTCAGTTTGGCCGTGGGGCCGCAGCGTGTCTCTGAGTAGCACAAACGGCCGCAGCTTCCAAGTGGTCAGGTGCGTCGGCACATCAGAGCGAGAGGCATGCTACAGAGGACCTTGGGGAGTGGGAATAGAGTCCAAAGAGCCTCTCCTCGTGGCTTGGAGCTCCATCATCGACGACGCCATGCAGCGGTGGAGAGCGTGTGTCGACAGGGGGATCGCTGAAAGGGAAAGTTAGGCGAGAGTTCAGCGGCGCCAGCGAAGGACCCATCACCCCAATCCAGATCTGTCGTGGAGGCAGCTTGTGTGGCTCAGGTCCCCCAACGACCAATAGCAGCCTCAGATGGCTGTTCAACAACAACCACTCCTCTCTTTGGCCGAGCTGAAGGGCAACGATATTGACCGTTGCCAATTCTTCGACATGTTTCCATGAACGGTTGAACGGCCTCCTTTTGTCTCGTCCTCGTCCTCAATAATTGGCATTTTAGGAATATTGACCTGTCTAGTGACGACAGGTCGGCGACAAAGAGTGACGGCGAAGACGATTACCGTTGGGCCAGGTCCACTCGAAATGTGGACAAGCTTGCCCTGCCAAGATGTCAAAAGAGGCTGCAAGTCAGCTGTGCAGGGCCCTTTCGACGACCCGCATCCAGCCTCTCACGAGCCATGCCGATTCCCCCACCCCTCTTCATCTGAACTTTGGCGTCTTAGTCTGGTTTGCCTAACCCGATCCCACAGTCCTGGGTTAGGTTCCGAGAAGCCTTGCGGCGTGCATGGTTGGATCGCGGTAGGAGATTCGACTTCAAGCCTCTGCAGCGCCTAAGAACCCACTAGAAGTCGCTTATGGTAACATCGCTCGGCGGCCGCCGATGGTGATATCTCACTGTTGCTGCTACTGATCTGTCCCCAAGCTGAGTGGTGAGTAGGTAAACCTGTAAGCAGACATCGTCCTCTCCGGTCATAACTACCTTGGTCTCAGGGTTTCGTTTTGAGAGGCAAAGACTGATTTGGCGCGCAGATCCCCATCACCGTCCCAAATCTGCCTGTAGCCAAGCAGCTGTCTGAAGAACTGGTTTCACTGTCATTGGGTGTGGTCTATTTACAGACCCTGTCCTGCATGCTGCACGTTGACTCTATGGCGGGAGGAGAATGGATATTGACAGGCAAGCAACGTCTTATGCAGGCTTATTAAGCTCACGAAACGTGGTATCCCAGCCCTCTAGCCGTCCTCATTGACTTCAACGGCCCGAAGACGAGCGCGGCTGGTGATACGGCTGGTCGGTCGCGCCGGCCAGTACAGCTATCCATCGAAGAGGCTCTCCTTTTCGGTGTCTCAGTCCTTTTCTGCGATGGCCTGTAATCTCTCGTCGATCTCGTCCTCGGTCAGCGTCCTGAAGCCCGGGTACGTCCCTTCCTTGCCATCGGGCCGCGGGCCTCCCACGATGCCAATCTCGATTTCGGTCTTCTTGAAGTCCATGCTGAGAACCGAACTCAGGGTTGTGATGGCCAGTTCGACGACGTCCTTCCAATCACCGGGCGCGCAGTCCTTGTTCTTCAGCTTTTTCTCGAGATGGTTGAGCGCCTCTTGCTGCTTAGGGCCTGCGGCGGTGCCCTTATATCCGATATAGTAGCCGGCTGGGTCGCATTTGAACAGTTGAGGCCCGAATTCAGAATCGAGTGATATCAGTGTCGCTGCGACACCGTATGGACGCATGTAGGCCTGTCAGAACCATGATCAGCAAATGTACAGTTCCATCTCTCGCCAGCTCTACAGTGGCGTCATGCTGCCCACATACCCGCTGGGTATACACTTGACTGATATTCGCGAGCCTCTTTGCCAGGGCATCGCACGGCATCTCGTAACCAAACTTGTATTTGAAATCGGCGGCTTCGGACTGGGCTCGCTGCGAAAAGGCCCGCGCATCGGCGATTGACCCTGTCATGACACAGCCAACTGACGGTGAGATCTGGAAGATGTGGGTGACTGAGGAGGGATCGATAAGTTTATCCTGGTTGGACGGATTAGATGCGTCGCGAAGCGGCCAGGTATCGGCGGCAACCTACCGGCACCTTCTTCTGAGACAGAACCACGGCACAGTCCTTGCCCCGAACGCCAATCGACATGATGTTCGCAGCTGTAATCGCCTTGAATGCATATTCTGCGACAAGCCCAGGCTATTAGCATAATCGGTCTTGAGCAAGCTTGGCTGACCAGGCAAGGCAAACGCCGGCATGTCGCCTGCTCAGTATCGCTAGCCCATCGCTTTCGGACGTACCGACTTGAAACAATCTCCCTTGTTCCGAGAAGATGGTGATGTGCCGGTCGTAACCAGCGTTGCCTGGCGGGTGTTAGTGATGGTCATAGTGGAGCTCAAAGCTGGCCAGGGAGCTGGGAACTAGCCATACCCGCCATTCTGACAGATTATCTGGGTATCGATGGATTGCTGGTATCAGACGAAGCCGAGCGGGACAGATAGCTTTGAGTGGCTACGTTATTTTCGAGTGTTGAGGAAAAAGTGGTTGCGCAGGTGGAAGACGGGAGCTCCGTTGGTTGACGGGAAGGGAGCTTCGTTAGCGATTGACGCGTTGCTGCGGTTTGCCTAGAGCAGGCTGAAGGTGAGCTGAAGCTGCTGCCTCAGATGTTAGGCGCCCAATTATGTTGCCGTTAAGGTCCGGGCCTTCCAACGTCACTGCAGTGCCCCGCTGTCCAATTGCTCTTATCGGCGCAAGCACCCTTGCATTGGGCACTGATAAGACCTTCTGGGCAGAAATTTGCTGCAGGCCAGCAATCGTCACGCAGAAAAGAGCAGCAGTCGCCCAATAGAACACAACCCGTGGGACGGGAAAGCCATTCGGGGCGCCAGCATTATTGACGATTTGGGCCTTTAACGTTAGGGCTTGCGCTGCTTGGCTTTCCGTGTTTTTGCTTCTGTGGGACACCGTAGCTGTAGCCCCATACGACCTTCTCTTCCACTCTCCTTCTCTTACTCTTCCTTCCGTGGTCGCCATGTCCACCCAGCGCGTTCCAGCCTGGAAGCGATTGGGCCTCAAGCTCAAGGGACCTGCAGCTGGCGAACCCCCCGTGTCTACGTCGGGTGGTTCCAATGCAAAGCCCTCTGCGCCAGATTCTCATTCCCCCCAAAGCCGCATAAACGGTAGTCCGGCGGGCGTGCTCAAAAGAAAGCTCCCGAGCTCGACATCCCAGCCGCCAAACGCTGTGCAGACCCCGAATAAGAAGCCACGGACAGAAGAGCAGACACCATCGTCGCTCAAGAAATCGGTTTCGTTTGCCAATGGCACAAAGGACGCCAAGCCGGAACCCGTGAAAAAGAAAGCAAAGAAGAAGAAGAATAAGGGGAAAAAGACCAGCGAGTCTTCCAAAACCGATTTTGATCTTGGGCCTTCTCTGAACTACCTCCGCCAGTGGCATACTGCCCGGGAATCGTGGAAGTTCAACAAGAACCACCAGACACTCCTGATCAAATACGTCTTCGACCCGGACAGGATTCCGTCGTCGGATATTTCTATTTTCTACGAGTACATCCGAGACCTCAAAGGCTTTGTGCGCACAAGGCTACGGGAAACTGCCGCCGAGATCAAGAAGAAAGACATGGAGCAAGGGGCTGGAGCCTTCCCTGCCTCGACCACGGATAGGGAAAGCAAACAGAAGGAGTACGAGGAGTCAATATCTCGGTTTCTACAACAATTACAACAACAGCAGAATGGGGCCTCCAGCAACGCCAATGGCAAACGCAGCATCGATGAGGTAGAATACGTCCTTCGCGTGGCCACCCCGGAAGTGAAGCAGCGGCTCCTGAAACGCATCCGTGCCGAGATGGTGCTGGAGGAGTTATCAGACAGTGATACGACGGTCTCTACCGAGACAGTAGCAACCACATCTGCCGCTTCTTCATCCGGCCGAGAAGAAGCGAGTGTTGGCCGGACTGGGCAGAGGGATGAATCCCAGCAGCCTGCCAAGCGGCGGAGGTTAAGGAAGGGCAAAGGGAGGACCGGCGTGGACGTGGATGACAGCAGTTCTTCAGAATCAGAATCATATGAGAGCGACTCGGAAGAGAGCAGTAGCTCGAGCGACGAATCCGAAGACGAAGAGATGGAGGCCCCGCCAGATGCGGACCATGCCGAGTCCTCGAGCTCAAGTAGCAGCTCGTCCTCGTCTTCATCAGGTTCGGACTCGGAATCAGCCGAGTCAGACGAAGAGAGCGGGTCAGCGAGTAGTGGCAGTGAGGATGGAGATGCGGATGGGGACGAGGATATGGGCGATGACGATGATGAGGACGAGGACGGAGACGTGGATGCGGATGATGACGAGGATGAGGATTAATATCTGCTTGGACAATTCAGGAGTCGGCATTGAATGCATGGGGCCATGTATGTTCCCAATGTTCAAATATGTACCACACGATTCCCGACTATTGAAAGCATGCATGTAATGACATGCTGTGGCATGCGCATCCCGTCCTTGGCAAAGATTCGGTCCGAGATAAGTGCGATCCAACCCATGTGAGAACTTGCAGACTGTGGTCGCAATGATTCCGACTCTTTAAGTCGACAGACTCTAGGTTGACATGAAACTGTCACCAAAGAAGACAACAAAACCCAAAAGAACCTTTAACGCCTTGCTCATAACCCCAACCATATGCTACGCCGATTGCAATGGTAATCAGATTGCCTCCCAAACCGTTCCAAATCTCAGCCAATCCCCCCTCTAAAATGCACCGTCGTCAAGCCTCCTCAAGCAACCTCTCCACCTCCAACAGACCAACACACTCCCCCCTGTCCATGACCGCCACGATCGCATCCTCCCCGTAGGGCCCACGGTCCCTTTCACCACCACCTCCACCACCACCATCCGTGGTGGCAGCAGCAGCCCCTCTCAACCCTCTAATCCACTCAGCCGCCCTCTGCACGCTGGTGTCGGCCGCGACGGGTATGAACTCGCTCCTGGGCGTAGCGAGCCACGCCAAGCGCAGGTCATCTATCCGTCGCGACAAATCCGCTTTGCTCATCCTCTTGATCCGCCGTGGCGGAATCACCTTTTCCACCTTCCCGCCGTCGTCTCGCCCAGGCGACGACGACGAGGAGGAGGAGCGCAGTCGCACCCAGCCAGACGGACTGGCGTAGCCCGCGCGCAGCACGTCCGCCCCGGTAATGGCTTCCCCTTCCCCTTCACCCTCCCCTACTTCCCCCTGCCGTTCCCCGCCATCCCAGACCAAATCAGCCACCTCGTCCAGCCGCACCGCCAGCGACCGCACATGATCCTCGCGCGAGCGGCGGCCGCCCCGCAAGGCCGCGCCGATGGCGCCTCCGGGGTGGTTGCGGGCAAAGACGGACCCGACCGAGGGGTGCAGCTCGCGCGAGGCGACAATGGCTAGGGCGTCGCCGACGGTCAGGGCGACGGTGGTGGAGGTGGTGGGCGCCGAGACGCCGAACGATTTTGTCTCGGGCTCGTGCACGGGCGTCGGCAGCAGGATGGTGTCGGGCCTGTGGCGGACCAGCTCGCACGTCTCGGGCCGGGTGTGGGCGGTGAGCAGGATCAGAGGGAGGGACCTGTCCAGGTGCGGGAGGAGGGTGAGGAGTTCCGGGGTCTTGCCCGAGAAGGTGATCAGCAGCAAGGTGTCGTGCGGGGAGATCTGGCCCAGGTCGCCGTGCAGCGCTTCTGTCGGGTGCAGGAAGACGGCTTGGATGGCCAGGCTGTTGAAGGTGGCGACGAGCTTCTTGGCGATGTGGCCGGATTTGCCGACCCCGATGACCACGACCTTGCCGTTGCGCCCTTGGTCGCCCTGCCGCCGCGTGATGGCGTCCACGGCGCGGTTAAAGCCCTCCCGAGTGAGCCGGTCGGTTGAGTACAGCTGGGTGACATTCTGCAGGGCGGCAGTCTCGGTGGCGAGCACGTGGACCGCCGTGGACAGACGATTCTCTATGGCGAGCTTCTTATCGCAGACGGCGATGGCGGGCTGGTCCAGAGTCAGGGCCTCGATGGGCGTGCAGAGGTCGTCATCTTCTGCCGGGGTTATGGGCGACGGCGGGGATCGCGGCGGTATGGACGAGAACGAAGGGCCGACCTGGCGCAGCACATAGACCTCGCTGTTTTGCACAGGGCAAGAATGGGTGCGCTGCTCCACCATTTTTTGCTCTAATAAGGTGCCCTTGCTTTTAATCCGACTTGGAAGCAACGGGACGCAGCCAGCGGTTGGGTTAAGGCCGCAGACGGCGCCAAAACTGGCCGTCTGCTTGACGGTTTCAAGTACCAGTATTAGTGGTGCGTCAGCCGGTCAGATTGTAAGTGTGAATCGGGAGTTCCCGGCAGGTATCCAAAATAATTCCCGTCGACAACGTTTCGGTAGGTTTATTAGCCACGTGAAAGCCTTGATGATTTCAGACACGCCTGTCTGATCACGGGTAAGGATAAAACTTGCTACAAATGGTAGAGAATCGCAAGGGGGAGTGGAGATCGGAACAGAGTACGACCTGCCCTAAGTTGCCATAAGATCTGATAAGGGCATGGGAGCCTAGGAAGAAGCTTCATTGCTTTCTTGCCGATGGAGCCGAAAGCAAAAGCCTCCAGAAATCGAGACCTACATCTGGCAACGGCCGGCATGTTTTATTACGCAACCCATCGGGGACGGAGCGAGAAACGAAGCTGTCGAGGTTGGACCCCTCTTCAGACCGAGATCTTCAGGGTTCGCCCCCCAAGATCGCGTAGCTGATCCTAGAATGGAGCGGCAGGAGTCCTGCCAGGCCGGAACCGCCAGACATGTTGCTTCGTCTGCGCTGTTCAGCGGGTCGGACGGATCTCGGATTGATCGGCTTGGTTCATTGGGTCTACTTCGCGGCCGGATACCTATAGTGATTGCTAATGAGTCAAAGGAGGTGGGCATCCTAGAGTTGGTGAACGGCGGGGTTCGGCCGTTGGATGCCGTTGAAGTGGCAAATGCACATCGCCTTGCGAACGTGCAGAAACATATGCGGCTTGTGGCCCCTTGCACTTGCGCAAGTTTGCGTGATTGCAAACGGTCTACCCGTTTAGGTACTGGTACTTCTCCCAGGAAGCCGACGTGCGTACGAATCGTCAAAATCAAGGACATATAGGAATATTATCAACTGTACTCCGTACTGATCAACTCTAATATGTTCTGTCCTTGACAATAATTGAACGAAGTTCGCGTGCATCATGTTTCCGTGTACCTGCTCGCTCAACGTTGAGCCAAACTACCGGGGCATCTTCTTCCCCAAGGCCAGACAACAAGGCCCAGCACACAGTGAAAAAGAGGTGGTAATTCAGACATCAAAAATTTCGACCGGAACGGCCCCGAAGGACAATTCAAGACGACGGGCTCCACGATGTGCAATGCAGGCCTATCGCCCTGGTACCCCTGCTTCTTGATCCAGGTGTACCCAATCAAGGTAAGTATGAAGAAAAAAGAAGAGAAGAGGAGGAAGAGGCGGGAGGGGAGCCTTCAATATATACTCGATCTTGCTGGACCGTGCGCGTGTGCAAACTTGCACACGCGCACGGTCCACCAGTTCTGGAGTGCGGTTGATGGACCGTGCGACTCTGTAAATTTGCAGGCGCGCACGGTCCAAGTGCTCCGTCGGAGCGGTGGGACACAGAGGCGATCTTCAACCCTAACCCCGTTCTCCAAGCCTCCTGTCATCCATTTTCCTATCATGATCCTCACGCTGCTGGTTGCAGTAGTAAAGGTCTGAATCGGCATTTTCGTTTGGTTCAGGTAGGCTCGACGGGGCATACTGATCCCATCGCTTCATTTCTCTTACTGTTTTTGCGTGCCAGTCACTCTCGACACCATGCCTGACCAAATCTCTGTTCTCTTCGTCTGCCTCGGCAATATCTGTCGGTCGACCATGGCGGAAGGCGTTTTCCAATCGCTTGCAAGGAAACCACCGTACAAAGATCTCATAGGTACTATCGACTCTTGCGGAACGGGTAGGTTGTTCGAGGAAACCATTTCCCCTTATTCCGCCTACTGACAGCTCTCGCAAAACACCCAAGGCGCCTACCACACTGATGAAGAGCCAGATGACCGGACCATGTCAACGCTCGAGGCACACGGAATTACAAATTATGTTCATAGAGCACGAAAGGTATTAGCCAGTGTGGCATCTCAGATTGACAGAGAGCAACTGTCCTGACTGTGCTCGAAAGGTCAGGGAATCCGATTTCGACAGGTTTGACTACATCTTCGCCATGGATAGATCCAATCTCGAGGATCTCAAGCGCATTCAGCAGAGGAAGCCCGGTTGTAAGGCCAAGGTCATGCTCTTTGGGGAGTACTCGGGAACCGGCAGGGCCGAGGTCATCAGCGACCCGTACTATGGCGGCAGGCAAGGCTTCGAGAAGGCGTATGAGCAGGCAACACGGTTCTCAAAAAACTTCCTGAAGGACGTCTTCCCGGATGTGCAGCCTGAACAATGACATTGGTCAGGGGTCGGTTACACTGGCGATGTTCATTACGCATGGCTCACAGGAAGCCGAAGGGCGAAAAGGCTGGGTTTCTGAGGCTCCACATCATACCAATCTGAGCTTCTGCAGCCCTACGGCCAGGCAAGGGCCCTGACGGTCCTGACCAGCACCCTGCCAGATAGGTACGCGCTGAGCTATCTCAGGCTGAACAATATTAACTGATTTAGTCTGATATTATGTCTCCCGTTTCAGCTTTGATCCAAAGCTAGAGTGCAATAGTAGCAAGGAAGACGAGTTAGGCAGAACACTTGGATATTCCCTCGACCATGAAAGGCGTAGCAGCTGGAGGTGGGCCCCAATGATGCTGCCGTTCCCTTCAGCCCTGGAACAACCACCGACAACCACGCAGTGGCGTCGAGCCATCTCGACTGCACTGAAACTGTTGGTATTGTCCAAGCCGAACTTAGCCGGTCATGTCGCTTGCGACTCTCTCGGTCTGCTGCGATTTGAGATCTTTTCGCTCTGGGTGATAGGGGTTGTCGCGCGCGTATCGAATCGCAGTTAGGGGTCTCAACTGCAAGTTCAATGTAGATCGCCAATCAGGAGGTGTGCAACAGCACCAAAGTGGACCGTTGGCTCTGCTCCCTGTTACCTTTGGGCGGCTCACAAGCCTGGAAACTGCATTCTGGCCCCGCGCAGACCCCACCTCAGTCTTGAGCCCCTCCATCTCGCTCACTCACCACTGCAAATCCTCCCTCCCGCCCTCCAGCCGCAGATTCAAGGTTAAGGGCTTGGATCTGTAAGTTGTTAAATACATATCTACCTATCACGCAGCTTGTTTTTGTTTGCCGCAGTTGCTTCATCTGTGCCAAACAGCCGCGCACCCTCTTTTTTGTGCTGGTGCTTGTCTTATTCATCATTGCTGTGCCCTTCGAGTAGATCACTTAAATAGTGAGGCTGCCTGCCCGTTTCAGCTTTGTGCTGCTGCGCTGCGTTTCGAGCTTCTTATCTGCCCCTCCTTTGACCCGCTTCCCCAACTTCAGCCCAGGACCAGGCAGGACGCCAACCCATCGCCAGACACTAGGATCGAGAGACACCCAAGGACTTCCGCCATGTCTGATCTCCAAGGCCGCAAGATCTTCAAGGTCTTCAACCAAGACTTCATCGTCGACGAGCGATATACCGTGACCAAGGAGCTTGGACAGGGAGCTTATGGCATTGTCTGGTATCGTACACCCCGCCTTTTGCACCGGTGTCCCTGGATTGCTTCAAAGGAATTGGACTGATCAGAGCTTGGATCTCCGTTTAGTGCCGCCGTCAATAACCATACCAACGAAGGTGTCGCCATCAAGAAGGTCACCAATGTCTTTAGCAAGAAGATCCTGGCCAAGCGTGCCTTGCGCGAGATCAAGCTGCTGCAACACTTCAGGGGACACCGCAACGTAAGACGGACAGGCGCCTTGTCTCCGGCTCTTGCGCCCGAATGCTGACATTTGAGCGCGGCTGGACCGAGTAGATAACCTGCCTGTACGACATGGATATTCCTAGGCCGGACAACTTCAACGAGACATATCTTTACGAAGGTAAATTACCGCCGTCCTTGTCCCGGGCTTGCTCAACGCCTGCTGACCGCAATACTCGCTTGCAGAGCTGATGGAATGCGATCTCGCGGCCATCATTCGGTCCGGCCAGCCCCTCACCGATGCCCATTTCCAGTCCTTCATCTACCAGATCCTCTGCGGTCTCAAGTACATCCACTCGGCGAATGTGCTGCACCGCGATCTCAAGCCCGGCAACCTCCTGGTCAACGCCGATTGTGAGCTGAAGATTGCCGATTTCGGCCTCGCGCGGGGCTTCTCGATCGATCCCGAGGAAAATGCAGGGTACATGACCGAGTACGTCGCGACGAGGTGGTACCGCGCGCCCGAAATCATGCTCAGCTTCCAGAACTACACGAAAGCGAGTACGTGCCCTCCTCGTTTAGCATTACCCATTGCTTGACAAGCTAACCCACATTCCGCGTTACAGTCGACGTCTGGTCCGTGGGCTGCATTCTTGCCGAGCTACTCGGCGGGCGCCCATTCTTCAAGGGCCGCGACTACGTCGACCAGCTGAACCAGATCCTGCACATCCTGGGCACGCCCAACGAGGAGACGTTGTCCCGCATCGGCTCGCCTAGAGCGCAGGAGTACGTGCGGAACCTGCCTTTCATGGCCAAGAAGTCCTTCCCGTCGCTCTTCCCCAACGCCAACCCGGACGCGCTCGACCTGCTCGACCGCATGCTGGCATTTGACCCCTCGCGGCGCATCAGCGTCGAGGCCGCCCTCGAGCACCCGTACCTGGCCATCTGGCACGACGCCAGCGACGAGCCCGACTGCCCGACCACCTTCAACTTTGAGTTTGAGGTGGTCGAGGACATTGACGAGATGCGCAAGATGATCCTCGACGAGGTCTTCCGCTTCCGCCAGCTCGTCCGCACCCAACCTGGCCAAAACCCCGGCCAATTCGGCGCCCCCGCCCCCGCCGCCCCCGTCCCCGTTCCCGCCGCCAACAACCCACACCAGTGGACCGCCGAGGACCCCCGCCCAGAGGAATACGGCCACCAGATGCAGGGCTTGGAGGCCGAGCTCGGAGGCAGATAAGGAATCGCCCCTGAGGAGGAGGTTGCGGGTAGCCGAGGAGGGGGAGCGCTGAGGTTGGCTGGGAAGGGAGAGGGATTGGAGCTCAGGCTGGGCATCACCCGCAAGCGGAGAAGGTGGCTGCGCTTGGAGAGGGCGTGGAACGAGTCGAAATGGCGGGTTTACGCCCAGCTTTGTAGAGCCTTCTCGCGCTGGAAGGGTGATTGTGAGGAGAAACCTGGTTACGGTGGTGATGGTAGTGGCGAGGGCAACGGCGGCGGTGCGGGGCTAGGTGGGTATGCGGATGAGAAGCTGTGCGGGTTCTACGGGACTGGGGTGAAGCGGTTTGCTGATGAGCGTGTGAGCAAAAGCGTTTGAAAGTGTTTCTGAGCTGAATTGGATTGGATAGTAGTGTTCTAGATAGCACTTGCCGGAGAAGATATTTTTGTTCTTCTAGGTTGTTTGTTGGGTACCGTGGCATTGGTTAAGGGATGGTACTGATCCGGGGTTCGTTGCTTGGGTGGTTAAGGGGAGGGAAGGTAGTGCTAGTGAGTTAGTCGTATTCGCATCCGATTGCTGGTATCATCCTTTGAGGTACCCTGTTTTCTGGGTTTGTGTTTGGTGTTGTTAAACAATTGGGTTCCTTGTAATAATCCCATGTGGTTTTTTTTTGCTTGCTGCCAGTGGTCCCTGGTTCGGTGTGGCCAACCTCAGGCTTGGGAATCTTACCGAAGATGGACTGGTCAACCTGGACGAATGTTGGAAACGGAATGTGATACTTGTTGAACATGAGGGAGTGTCCGTTATTGAGTCTGGAGCCTACCTGTCTAGGTCGGTGCTATTTTTGCTCCCGCTAGGGAAGTTCTTGAGCACGAGATAGTCTAAGAATAGCAGGGCGTCTGACTTATCCTCTCCTTTCCTGGAATGGAAGTCATACCGAAAGGCGAGTGGAGCCACGCCGAAGAGAAAGTCTTCCCAGCTCAGCTCGTGGAGTTTATCTTTGAGTTTGTTCTATCAAGCAGGGGGTCGGGGTGAGAGGGTAGGGGGAAGAACGTCCCTTGTCTTGCGTCCTTACCGATAGCATGTACTTGTACTGTACGTACATGGCTCGAGGATACTGAATATCAGGGGACCTAAGAATCTCATTACACAACAGCAGACTCATCTTCAACGGATCCTGGACCTACTTCTGGTGAGAAAGGTGAAGATACGTAGGTATACATCCACCAGCAAGGATCCGATCGGACCACTTGGTTGCCATCTGCAACTCTTTGAAGCTGGCAAACCTAACCACTTTGAAGTCATGTGCAGCATGGTGACGCAGCAACGGCAAGGTCGGGGTATTTTTGTTCTCAATGACAGCGTGATGGATCAGTGGTTGGAGGACCCTAAATACCTAGACAGTCGTGTTGGTAGTAGGTGCTACATGTCTCCCGGTCTGGGCCCCAAGCAGCTGGTTTGGACCGAGGAGGCCGAAGTGCAAAATGGACCAGAAGAGATTGCCTTCCCAACTGGGACAGACTGCGGTGAGGCGGCCAGGCGCTTGAGAAGCTACTAGGATCGATTCTTATCAAGGACAGCACTACGGTCAATGGCTTACTGAGCCTTTCCATGGTCAGTTATGAGGCTAACTTGTCCAAAAATTGCATATCGAAGATGACTATATCCAATATCCCCAAGATCACAGCAGGATTGGGGAGGCAGGAGGTCAAGGGACAGGCCGGAGGATTCCGTGAACGAAGTATATTCCAACGAGTGACCGTCTATATGTGAATTATCTTCACCGGATAATTTTCCAATACCGTAACTCCATATTCCATATTTCCCGTGTCAAAAATCATTAACAATGCTTTGTAAATGAATACCAAGCTATCGGAAGGGTATATCCGAGCCAAAGAAGAAGGAACAAACCGGCTCGGCCAACTAAGCCGTGTCATGCCAAACAAATGCAGACCTAATGGAGTGCACTGACGGAATGCCGAGGGGATGAATAAAGACAAAATGTGCATGTGTGTGTGTGTGTATGTCTGTGTTTGTGCGCTGCGTGAGGGGTGATGGGAGCTTGAGAGACGGGATGAGTAAGATGAGGCCGTGAGTGGCTGGTTAAAAATAAGCTTGAGTTGGTGGTTGCAACAAACAGCGGGAAAAAAGTCTCCCGAGTCCCTCCCGCCGGCACGTCTCCCAAATTCAATTTTGGCGGTTCGAGCGGAAGGATCAACTCGCACAAAACATGCGCCACTTCACTGCTCTGCTCACGTAGTGAACCACACGAAACCGTGCTTTCCTTGGCAGTTCTACCCGTAGAACCAGTAATAGGTTGTGTAGGGTACACTCTGCAGACCGACGCCGGCGACAGAGCAAGGCTGGGGGGCGCCGCCGGCAGTGACGACGCGGTACACGATGCTCAGGCCCTGGGAGAGACCCTTGCCGCTGTCCCCGAGCTCCAGCCAGTCCACGGCGCCTGTGTTCAGGATGCCCTTGTCGGCCCCATTGGGGGCGGCGAGGTTTATCCGCTTGGTTACGCTGGCTTTGAGTCCGGCGGTGGTGACGTCGAACATGGGAACGTTGTTGCTGTCGAAGTAGTGATAACCGAGGAATTTGACAACGGGAAGACCGGAAAGCCTCAGATCGTCTGTCGGCTGGGGGAACGGCTTCGCTGGGTCGGCGCCGTACTCGGTGCCCGAGAGCTTGTTGAGGGGCAGGGCCTGCTGCCTCAGCAGAGTTGACGGCAGACTATCCCAGGCGCCTTGAGACAGGGCTGTTCTTCCCGTTCCTGGGAAGAGACTGGTGGCGTCGTAGAGGACGGCGACGGCTCCGGCCGCACTGGAGTTGCCTTCCGCGGCTCCGCAAGTGTAGTTTTGGATACCATGGCCGATGGCGATCTTTTTCAGTGTCAGGTTGGCAGCAGGCGCGGGAAGTTCGGATGCTAATTACTTGTCAGTCTTGCAACTGTTCGTGGCTTGGGACGTAGCGGCGGGATCGGCTTCAACACTTACATCCTCCAAGCTTTGGAAGAGTGGGCGAGGTTTGTGGTTTGGGCTTGCATGGAGTCGTAGGAGCCGCAGACACCATTGCAGCCAACCCCGCGAGAAGAAATCGGGTAGAAACCATCGTGCCGGACGAATTCTTTACTATGTTCGAGTGATCTGGGAGACGAGATGGCGCTCGGTGGAAGTGATAATATGAAATGCTTCCAGAGCAAGTGTCGTTGAAGTAAAGATATGCCAAAGACGACGAGGACCGAACAAGACAAGAGACAAGGAGAGTTGAACAGAAAGATGAGATGGTATGGAAGATGGACTGGTTGTGGAATGCGGAATGGAGAGAGCTGAGGTCGAGATCTTATACCTCCTCGAGAAGGTTATGGTACGGCAGACTTATGAGAGACGGCAAGGTCAAGATCCGGGGTCCAAGTAGGCAGTCCGGTGGCTTGACGGCTTGGCTATGAACAGGTGACAAGGGGCCGGGTTCAGATGACGGAGGCTAGACACTGACCGGGATGGATGGGGTGGAGTCGGCAGGAGAAGGGCGCAGGAAGGAAGAAAAGAAGGTCAGAGTGTCGGCCTGGGGTTAGGATGTGTTTTGTATGTACACTGGTACGAGTACATCCTGATGTTACCTTGGGGGGGCGTGGAGGATTGAACCCCGGGAAGGAAAGAACATGTCCACAGACATGGGGAAGCAGATTGACCTAGGATGAGGCTAAGTTTCCGTTTCCATGTCTGTAACTGCTCGAATATCCATGTACGAAGTACCTTGTAAATCGCGAGCACTGAGGTGAGCAACGGACCGGCGGTTGCAGAGATTGATCCAACGAGCATTGAACGGGGAAAGATGTTGTGGGGAAGCAATGAGCAGTGCCAAGGGTCGATGGGGGGCAGGTACCTGTGGTACAGGCGGCACGGCTGCAGATCCAGTACCAGCCACTTAAACGACATGCAAGGGTTTGGGAAGGCTCGAACAGCGGCAGACGGGAGCCATATATTAAGGAATTACTGTAGCGGGTTTGGGGGGTTACTTTACATCTGAACTCGCCAGGGCCGCGCAGGTATTCTGCCCAAGGGCTTCCGCATGGGCTTCAATACTGCAACCCAGAACGAGGAATCTTGTAGGTAAGATAATTAGACTTGCCGTGTATCTACATACCCGTGCGTTCTGAATGCTCGTTCGGTCAAAGAGGCAGCCTCTGTGGTTTATCTACACTCGGTACAGTACATTGGACCGGTGCAGTGAAGTGCGATTGCCGCCCGCTTAAACGGCTTCGCCCGGGGCAGAATCGACGTCTTATTGCACCCCTCCTCCGCAGGGACTACCTTATCTATTGCTTCGCGGCCCGTGCCAAGAGCTTCTCATGGGAAGTCCAAGTATCATCTGGGAACGGAAAGGCGGGAAGTACATCTCTAAGAGGTACCTGGAGTACTATGAAGGCGCCTGGCCTCTCAAACGGGCCTCCGTCGGCTCACACGAGGCTTGGAGCCGCTGCCTATCCGCTGCAAGCCCGCAGTGGGCGAAATGAAGGGACAAAGACAGCGGTAAGCCACGAGCAAGCAGAAAGAGGAAAAGATCAATAAAATATGATCAATATTAAAATAAAAGAAAGACAAAGAGGCAGAAGAAGAGGCCAAGGCTCCCCTGGTAAGGCAATCTGCGCCAGTTACTCACATATGTGTGGATATCACGGGGTTCCCAACGCACGACACCTAGGGGTAACCTATGCATTGTATGTATCCTGAACAACCAAACTGAGGGTCGTGTCCGCCCCAAAGAGTGTTGAGTGCCCAGGTCGCTTCGCGGTGAGTATTTGCAGTCCCGAATCTGGGACACTTTTGGTTCGATACCCAGGAGGAGGCGGGAATACTCTCGTGGCTGGAAACGAGAGATTGAAGGCTGCGCTGCGCGGCTAACTCATTCGATCTCGATTGCCCCATGTTCTTGGCGTATCCTTGTTAGTTCATTCTAATTCTACATACTAAGGTACATGCATAACGTTACCCGTAACCTCTGTTCAAACACCAGCTTGATAAACGCTTAGGAGGTGCAATGCAATAGTTGAGATTGTAAGTTCGACTCCATCGCTAGTATTGTCCCGATTCAGGACTTGGTGCGGATTATTCCGGGCCCCTCAATAAATTCTCCCTTGGCATCTCTCAGGCTGCATGGCGGGAAACACCACTCTGTTCCGCGTGTTCCGGTGTGGGAGCACAATACCAACCTGAAAAGCAGGGCTCTGGGAAGCATTCGACAGTGCTGCACTATCGTTATGTGGCCCGTGCTTCTGCTGGAAGGAGGGCGACTGTAACCTGCAGATCTGTGCGATGCTGAAGGAAGGCCAAAGGAATATGTTCCCAACGTTAGGGAAGACTAGCGATGGTGCTTGAAACATCTTGTCTGTCAGTTTAATGGAAAACATCATGATGTTGGTCTCAGAGAAGATGGCCCCTGATGTGCCATCGAGGACGTGCGCAACGGTCAAGCTGCGATGCTCCTGCCTCTCGCACAAACGGGAACCCGCTCAGACCTGGTGGCACCTTTTGCAATCCGCCCTCCATGTCTGGCGCTCATCCGAACTGTTCAAGAACGTCAAACGTTACCGGATGCGCGGGTTCTCGATCACCAGGATCGTCATCCCAAGTAGCTGGATGATGGACATCATCCACGCCCCCGGCTCCAGGCGGCCAACTCAACGGATGGTTTCCCTGCCTACCCCCTGGTTTAGGTAGCTTGGACCAATTCCTACAGCGATGTTGCGACACGATCTCAGACGAGATACGGATTACCCGGAGAAGTGCCCAATCCTTCGCGTGTTACGGAGTATAGCCGGACATGTTGTCGTTGGTAAGGTATTTACCGTTTCTTGCTTTGAGGTTCTCGAACTCGACGAGTCTGCATTTTGGAAGTTGCCAGCTCCGTACGGAGTACAAGTTCTGTTTCGTTTCAAGTCTGTGCGTGATGTTTGCTGCCCCCTGACGGCACATCAGGACTAGCGGCGCAGGGCACTGACACCGACTGTTCTTCTCCACGTGCGCCGCGTCAATGCCAGTGCAACGGTTGAGGATCAAAGATTCGGCAAGCAGCAATTCCTACACGCAATTACTCCATACTCGGGTGCACACTGTGGTCTAGTATGTATATCCGTACTAGCCCTAGGAACTTCGACTCCGAGTTGTGGGCTGCGCCGCGAACTTGCCGCGGCCGGGATCACTGAAATTTCCTCCTGGCTGGACTGCCAGCATCAGCATCCTCGCAAACGTGGTGCGACCTTTCGCTACTCCGTACTCGTTACACCACTGTGTTGATTTTAGTGTAGATGCAGTTCGACAGTTCGACACCAGCACCAGCGAACAGATGCAACCAAGATGACCAAGATCGGAGCTTGCGCAGGTAATCAATAATTCAATTCTCGAGTGTCACCTCAATGGCTTGTCGCGTCTCCATCGCGGGGCTAGTGGCGCAAGTCTGGCCAATCACGGGGATTGGGAATTGGAGACCCTGCGCGTCCGGCGCTTAGAAGCGCGTTTGGCTGCAAGAATCGTCCGGTTTTGCTGTCACCTTCCATTTCTCCATCAAAAAGGCAACAGTATTGAGGTAGTGTTTACCGCGCAGCCGCGCGACGACGGACTTCCGGCTTCCATCGCCTTGCTTTTCTTGCAAGGAAGAGAACGAGAACGGTCAAGCCGATAGACTTCCTCGCACAACACGCATGTTTGCGGCAGAAGCACTTCGGGATTGGTCTGCCGGCCGCTATGTGGGCCGGATAGCCGACCCCGCGCAAGCCCCGCAGGTCTTGTTCCGGACTGTGTTGACGGCATGGCTCTACTCCATCAGATTTGTAAATGTTGTTGTTTTCTTGACCCTCCGCTCTTTCCCTCTCAGAACATCGTTACAGTGTAGGAATATCTGCGAGGCGACCTGGCTGCAGCCGCAACCTCCTCCGCGAACATCATGACAGGCTGTGAGCTCTCCTGGCAATGGCGCTGGCCCTGTTGTTGGCTCGATATTCTCACAGATTCGAACCAACGAGCGTGGCTAATGCAGCAGTCTGTCTGAGCCTACCAAAATCTTTCAGCCACGTCACTGCTGGACCCCGCTGGTTCAGACGCCATCACAGCGATGTACTCGTCCTTTCTAGTTTGCTGCTGCTTGCAATACAGTGCTCGCTTCCTGCGGCCTACGTTCATCCTTTGACTCGACCCGACTGGCGTGACATCGGACCAATGCCCGACCCAGGTCCTTGGGACTTGGGACTTGAACCTAGCGCCGTTGCTGTCTGACCCGGCCGGATATCGGGGCTGTGACCTTCGATGAAGGCATCAACGGTGGATTTACGGATCGTCTAGTGCAGCTTGTTCCTGTACATACCTCTGCTTGTACATCGCCCTACAAGCCATGGGAAAACGGAGGTCATAACGGCGCTGGCATGGTCGCCCCCGTGTGTCATTGTCGCGGGAAAGCATCCAATCGAGCGTCGAGTGACGGCTTCGAGGTCTGAGAACCCACGATCAGAAGACATGATCGCGGCACCACGTGGCAGGATGTCGCCAGGTAGTCTGGCAGTATACCTAGTCTACGGCGGTTAGGGACCTCGTCTTTCCCTCTCTACGTGATGCGAGCATCCTGCCTGCCGAGCATGGATGCCATGGAGCGATTACCCCCGAATTAGCGACCCCCTAAAAGGCGCACTGGAAGTTCCCTCTCCATCTCGTCTGTGTTTGGCGGTACATGCACTCATCCTACCGTGACTTTCTCAACCGTTCTCTCAATAAGCCCATGATAAACGGTACTTGAGCGCCGGAGCGGTGGCCGGCCGGCCGACACAGCCCGGAGATCGACTTCCCAGGATGGACCACGCCCCAGGCATCCGGCCCGTTGTGTCGGCCTGTATGTGGTGTACAACAGTGTCTTAGACATCTTAGACATCGTTTTCCAGAATTCATCAGAACTACAACCTGATTCGTTCGGTCCGCGCTTATGGCGTGTTCGGCATTGGTGGCCGCTTGTGGCTTTGTTCCTGTGATACAGATCCGTGGGGCCACATCAGGCCAGCAGTGGCTTGGGCAGAAAGTGAAGCTAGATCTTTTGACATTGTGCTACATGTAGGCAGGTGTACTGTGTCTGGGCACCGATGGGGACCTTCTGTCCTTCGTGACCCGGAGGTCGCAGTTGGTTGACGCAAGGGATGTGGCGGCTGAGACGTGTTCGTTGGTCTGAAGACGCGTTTTTTCCTCCTTCTATGTGGCTCTTGGAACGAAAGGCGCCTATGTTCTACATGTGAGGTTGATGCCTGACGGTTGTCGCGATCCTCAGCCTAGCCTTTTGACTACTGATTGTGTTGGTGCCGAGATACTACCAGTAATGAGCCCAGCTGGGCTTGACCACGCCTACGGTTTGAGTCACTCACCAACGCAGATCGAGGACCTAAAGAGTAAAGACGTTCTACAAGGCCAACATGGGTGAGGACCAGGTCTGTGGAGCTGAGGATTCTGCTTGACAGCCTGTAATGGACTCACAAAGTTGGCTTTACACATGACTGCTGGCTCCTGCTTCCCGAGGTATCGGGAGGGCACGCCAATAATGTTGCGTCTCCTGAATAAGACTTTAAGAAAGCTCCGCCCTGTGCCTCTTCTCACGTCGACGAGATAATACGGGCAATGGAACCATAACCTGAACACTCTGAGGTCCACCCGAGCAGTCTGGCAAAGTCATGTTTATGTCCATCTGCTTAAACTACCTCCCCTCTCTGGCAGCGCCCCCTTCTTTCTCCCCTCCCACCTCCTGGAAAACCCAGATTACTGTAGAGGGTACTCGACCGGCGAGATGCACTTTGTGCCCGGACAAGTGCAAGCTGGTGGCGGCATTTCAACTATCTTTCCCTCTATCTGTACCACATACGTTGGTTGGGGCCCGGGGCAGTCCTTTCGGCCTTCGTCGGCCGCTTTGGGTTCGTTGTGTTTGTGCTCCTTGGCGGAGCATGTCGTGTTTTCGTATGGGTGGTCTGCATCCCCTCCATCCACGACCAGACGACGTAGGTAGTCCTCTGTAGTAATGCTGACCATTAGCTTGAACTCTTGCTAGGAAAGGTACATGAGATGTGGTTACCTCTTCCACGCCTGGATGGCGTCGTGGTCGGGTGGTTGGGTCCCAGCGGGTGCTGGCTCAGACTGCAGCCTCTTCTGGGGCTGGGGGTCCTCTCGGTCGTCGTTTTCTAGGGCCCGTTTGAGGAGGTTGCTGATGCGGGCATTGCCCAACACCGGCGTCAGAGAGTTTTGCGGCGGAGGCAGGTTTTTCAAGCAAGTTTCGAATATGATCAGATGACAACACGATTGGACGAGAATACGATCGGACGAGGAGATTGGAGATCGACCTGCGAGATGCGACCACTGCCATTGTATACCTATATATGCCTAATACAACCCAGTCCATTGGCAAGTTGCCATGCATCCCAATGTCGATTCCAGACTTGGAAGTCGCAATGCATCCCAACGCGGGCAACCCCCTAGGGGAAAGTCACAATCTTCACTGCTGCCTGACCGGGCCCATTGCTACTTCCCAACATAGATGCTGTGATGCCCTCAGATGTTCTAGACAGCACGTGTGCTACACCGACAGAGCCAGCGAGTGTTTCTTGACCGGAAGGCCTGCCGGGTAGTCTTGTTAAACCATGCCGTGCTGAGCTGTAGCCTGCTGCCCCAAACAAGAATATCTCGATCCTGTTATTTGCGAATACTGTGAGATGGTTGCAATATTCGACGCAGTGGCATTGGACGGCCTAATTGGGCTTCATTCATTCGCTGCTAGGAAAAGTGTTAGGCAGTAAAAACTGTCTGTCAAAGTTTGTCATCGCACAGCGTAATGATCGAAGGGAAGGGCGATGCCTGTCCAAATCCCCAATTAGAACAAATCGGTAAATAGAATGCCGTAGAGCATCATGTATGTGGCCCCATTTTCCCTGTCCTTAAAATAGAGCCTCAGCTGAGCTGAAATGTAGTGAGAGTGAGTTCCCTGAAAGTTCGTTGTTCTACCGGATGATTATGGTCCTTGACGAGTTGATTCAAGTTTGACACTACCCGAGATTGCACTCAGGACGGAGCAGGCGAGAGGCTGGGCTATCTACGTCGGTGCGCCGTACGAGTCCTCGTCGCGAACTTCAAGCCGGTGGCCGGCAAAGACCTCCCCGTTAGACAGGGAGGGGTTGTTCGGTGCGCTGACTAGTGTGAATATAACAATAGCTGTCAAGTACCAGGAGGAGATTGGGCATAAATTTGACTGCATCAAGATATTGATTGGCATGGTATTTCCCATTGTGTGAAAGGGCTGGGTCAGCGCTGTTCGACGATGGTGGTGAATCAGGATTCAGGGGCTTCAGGGGCTTTGTTGACTAGACGACCCTAACCCTGGACAATGTCAACAACTCCAGTATCTGTGTCTTTCTCAAAAAAAAAAAAAAAAAAAAAATCGGTGACCTCGGCATGAATTGTCGCAGTGTGTAATGAGCATCATAGTATGGCGGTTGCATGTGAAAGGTAAAATATCTAGTCATTTATCTCGAGCCCTATGTAAGGTGCTTCGGCGATCGGGACGCGCAATTCAAATGTTTCCTACTGGCGCTGATCGTCGCTTTGCTCCGTGCCTCGGCTCAGCACGGACCATTCGCTCGGATTGGGTTAGGTTATCCGACCTCCAGGACCCCACCGACTAGCTTCCAGAAGTTCCAGCCGCCTGGCGAGCAGCGATAAGCTGCATCCGTGTGCTGTGACAGGCCTTTCAGGCACCCAACAGAAGCGAAGCGAATGCGAGAACAGATCGGACAAAGCCCCCAAAGCGACCCTCTCTCCAGTCTCCACCACCTCAGCATCAAACCCACTCTGAGATGTCGCTACCGTATTAAATAAAAGCTGACCAAAGATACGGCGCGATGCCTCTGTCAGCCGCCGATGCGAATCCCTCGTCGCTCATTCTCTCCAAGTGCGGCACCACACTCCTTTGCTTTGGCCGCAGCCTTCTTCTCTGGGTTGTTGTCCTCGCCGTTTTGTTGGTTGGCGCTCTGCGCAGGAGTCTCTTTGCGCCCGCGCGCGGCGCCGTAAAAGGGAAAGAAAATCAGCGATAAATTGCTTTTCTTACGATACCGGCACCATGGCTGTTGGCACTCTCGCCCTCTTCTACCCGGTCTTCGTGCCGATGAGCGTCGCGACGCTCGCTTATGCCGGCCACCGGGCGATCCAGCTCGACTGGCGCACGCTGATCACCCACTTCCTGACGGGTCCCGGCCGGACAAGTCGAATCTTGCTACTCCTCTTCGTGGTGCTAAACTGGAAGAGCATGCCGCTAGCATGGACTGTGAGTCCTCCACTGCAACCTCTGTCCCTGCTCTGTCACTCTCAGGCCTCCTAAAGACCAACTGCAAACTCGTCCAGGTCCGTGTCTTCCACTCATTCATGTACCACCTCCTCCCACGACCCAAGAAATTCCCGCAGCGCGCGCTGTTCCACTACAGCCTGACATCAAGCCGCACCTCGCTCCTCGAGACGGACTACAACGTGCACAAGAGCAACTCGACGTATTTCTCCGACCTGGACGTCAGCCGCAGCCACCTGGCGACGTGCCTTCTCGGGCAGGGCATGCACGTCATCGGAAACAATGCCAAGCACAAGCGGGTGCTCGACAAGCAAGGGAACGTGGTGCAGGGCGCCTTCGGCATCGGGCTGGGCGCGGTGTTCTGCAGCTTCCGCAAGGAGATTGCGCCGCTGCAGGCCTACGAGATGTGGAGCCGGGTCCTGTCCTGGGACCGCAAGTGGCTGTACATTGTCACGCACTTTGTCGTCAAGGGTAAAGTGCGCCCGACGGGTTGGGACGGGAAGCGCATGGGCCCGACGCGCGCCCGGGTGCAAAAGGTTGACGGTGGGGAGCCGGTGGAGGACTGGAGCAAGTACGTCATTGCCACAGCCGTGAGCAAGTATGTGTTTAAGCTGGGGCGGTTTACGGTGCATCCGGCGCTGGTGATTGAGGCGGCGGGCCTCCTGCCTGAGAGGCCTGGCGAGGGCTGGACGGGCGGCGAGACGGGCACGGGCACGCCCGAGGAGCTGGGTGAGCTGGACGAGGCCGGGGAGTGGGACTGGAAGCGAGTCGAGTTGGAGCGGCGCAGGGGAATGGAGTACGCCGAGCACCTTGCTGCGCTGGACGGCACGAATTCATTGTTTGATGGTGGCGAGGATGGCGCGATTGGGTACTTTCCTCTGGGATAGAAGCATGGCCCGGGGTGTTTGACTTGGATTGGGGCGGGTGGTTAAAGCTGTTCTACGGATACCTTAGACATGGATAGAAACAGAGCATCACAGCGCTGGTTGGGAGCGTGGTTGGGACACTGTTATCGACCGCTGATGAGCAGGACGAAGAATGATCCTGAGCAGCGCGTGTGCAATCCGTGCTAGCCCTGCTGTAAGAGAGAGGAATATTGGCCAATAATCCATCTCTCATCGTGCTGAATCAGACGTCCTTCCTAGCATACTGAGAAGAAAGCAGAAGAACATGCGATTACCGGGTCATCCGATCTGCCTCGGCAAACTCCCGGCATTGCTGCCGGCATCCGAGAAAGGGTGGGGTCAAGTGGGTTCGGGGATCGGCAGGTACCCGGCGCCACATAGAGGGGACGGAGATCCGAGATGTTCACAGAAACTTTTACTATCCTAGAAGAAGATACCAGACCTTAGCTGTGGACAATTGGGTTTGGTTTGACCATCCGCGTTACCGGTACACAGTACATATGCCAGCCTACAAAATCCAAAAAAAACCAATTAGACCCAACAACACCTGAAGGACCCGGCGTCGCCATGCCTCAAGAAGACCTGCAGCAAGCGAACGACGAGGCAACAGCCCGCCAAATCGCCTACTTCCGCGCCATCCCCTGGTGCGCCGCCCGTCTCTCAGCCTGCTCATCACCATTGTCATCACCACCCTCAGAACCCAAAACAGCAACAAAAACAATAATCACCCAATGCACCTCCCGCCAACTCCGTCCGGCGGGGGACAACCAAGACTTGCTAATGTCGCGCACGCTGAACCACGCCGACGCCATCCCCGCATACATTATGTTCTACGCGGAGCCCGCCGATGATCCAGCCCAGCTTGTGTCAGAAGTGCAGTCCTTTGCGGCCCTGGGCCCGATGGTCAACGGATGGGACGGCATCTGCCATGGCGGTATTGTGGTTACGCTGCTGGATGAGGCCATGGGCCAGCTGTTTGCTGTGAATAAGATGAGAGGGGTTATGAGGGAGATGCCTGTTCTTACGGGGTGGTTGAATACGCGGTTTATGAAGCCTGTTCGGACCGCGACTCGGACGGGTGCTAGTGGGAGTGGAAGTACAGGTGGGAAAGGGGATGGGGATGGGAAAGGGGTGGTGCTGGTCAAGGCTAGGTTGGTTAAGTGGGAGGGGAGGAAGTTTTGGGCTGAGGCGACGGTGGAGGGGGAGGACGGGGCTGTCCTGGCGAGGGCGGATGCGTTGTTTGTTCAGCTCAGGGGGAGGTTATAGATGGGATTGGGGCGGGAGTTGGGGTGTGATGTGCTTGAACTTTGGACAAGTTCACTGGCGCAGACTAGACGGAGTTTGATATGCTGGGGCTGCACGTGGGAAATGCTGGTATGTAGGTCGGTAGTCAGTTGCTCCTGAACACCATGACCTCGAACTTATAATGTCTACCGGTTATTGAACCAGATTAGGGGTATGGGCCCAGGCGACCACAACGCAACGCGGAAACATTTCCTTTGTTGAAGCTCGCCGACGACGAAACTCTAAAGCTCTTAAGCGAATGCTAAGACAAACAGGGCCAAGTAACAGTCTACCCCAGCGACTGCCATCGGCATTCGAATTAGCCTAAAGCTTCCGAAACTCGGGCGAATTTCCACGAATCCAGGATTCCACCTCGTTAATACCTTCGACTTATGGAATTTAAACTTCGGCAAGCCAGTTCCGTGGTATTTGCAGATATGAATGGTAGGTATATATCTTATGTGTGGCCGCTCCTCGTTGCCATGCTTCCAGCCTGGGGCACTTCAGGTTGAATCCCTTCTGTCAACCGGCATAAAAAATAAAAGTTCAGTCCCATATCCCTTGCCAACATGCGCTTCTACCTGCTTGCGCTCCTCAGCGTATATGCCGCGCTCGCCTCGGCGGCCATCACATACCGGATCCAGAAGTCGACCAACCCGACATCGGACGAGGCCGACGCCTACGCGCGCATCGAGTCGGCCGTGAAGCTGGCCGTGGCGCGGTACAACCGGCTGGCCACGCGGCCCAACAAGTCCATCACGGTGCAGTACGTGCCGAGCGTCGCCACGGCCGACGGCAACTTCAACGGCAACATCCGCTTCGGCAAGAACCGCTCCTACATGACGGAGCGGACGGCACTCCACGAGATTGCGCACACTTTGGGGATTGGGCAGACCAGGGCCTTTGATACTAGATGTGCTGCCAATAACTGGCCGTCTGCTACGAGGCTGCTGCAGTCGTGGGACGGGCCCAGCGCTAAGATCAATTGTGGTGGAGGGCATATTTGGCCGTATGGGCTTAACTATGAGAATGAAATGAGCGAGACGAATGCCAATCGGCATTGTCAGCTTATTGATGCCATGTTGGCTGATGGGTTGGCTGCGTGATGGGGAGGGACCAGACATGAAAGTGACCGCTCACTGTAAATACCTACGACAAGTCGACAAATTGGTTACATGTATATCCTGGGCATACATTCCGATTGAACATAATAGTTTGGTTTCACATGCTAAGTCACAAGTCCCGTGATCGCTTAACCAGGCGGCCAAAATGTTGGCCATGGGTGGAGGGAAGACGGGCGTCTAAGTTCATGTAGCCGCCAACCGGCCAACATCACAGAGGACCATTCACTCAAGTCACGGTGTGTCTATGCCAGCAGCCAACAAATCAACCAACATGACCGCCCCGTGTGGCAGGACTCATCTTAAAATCTGCTTAAGTTGGTGATCTGGGCCCTACTCCGTGATTCTCGAGACCTTGATCCGGACCCTGACATGGCGTATCGCCCTGAACTGAGGTGTGGGAGGAGACGACCTGGGTCACTCATGGTGGGTGATTCTGTCGGAAACAAGAACACCCGGCGCCAACTAGTTGTTAACTGACGGGTATAAGACCCAGATTCTGGCTCTATAACTCGAAGTGACGCTTTCAGATTGGACCTCGAGTCATCAACCGGCTTCTTAACTTCAAGAACCCCAACCACTCAGTTCCCTTTCAAACCCTTTCATCGAACGTCACTACCTACCTAGTACATCGCCACGACGTGAGCAGTGCCCGCCCGCACCCACCCCGTCAGGATGCAGGACTCGGGAGAAAACAACAATAACCGGCGACGGACCCGTCAGCGGTCAATATCTGACCCCGGGCCAGGGCCTGCCAGTGACGTCCCTCGACCGGTGCCGACTCTGATCCGGTCAGACTCTCAAAGTATCCATTCAGTCTTGATCGCACCGTCGCCCTCATTTTCTTTGCGTTCGTGGACCAGTAACAGTTTTTCAACTTCCATCTGGTCCTGGATAGAAGATTCCTGGGTGGACGATTCAAATTGGTCACGATCACCATCCCAACGCTCGCTCTCGGAGTCTCTCCGTTCGCTCCCAACCGGGCAACCCCAAGCCCTTCGCCCTCCCCAACATACCTACGGTCGTCCGCGTCCGCAAGGTATGCCATTTTTTGCTGCGCCTATTGTCAATCGAAACCCAGGATGGCCCTGGCAGCGCAACGACATGCTCAACCAGGCCCTCGCCGGCCCAGACTTCAGCATGACCACGCAGCGCC